CGCGTTTACTTCGTCGTCCATCTGTTACGCCCGCCCGCTCGGAGGGATGCCCATCAGCCAGAGGTGCTCCTTCTTTCTGCGGCGCCGGCGCCTCTGTTGCCTTCTGCTGCGATGCTGTCGCTGCTGCTGCACCCGATCTCCTCGTGTGCTGGGCATTGGCAGTAGCGGTGCCCTCGTGTTTCTGGCTCCTCTCCACACTTGGCGCACACTTTCCTCTGCTCCTGCCCGTGGAGCTCGACGCCTCCCTGCCCGCGCCCACGTGCCTCCCGCCGCAGTGGTCTCCAGCAGGGCCGCCGCCGCGTGCTAGCTTCTGGAGCCCTGCGCCTGCGGAGGCGTTGCCGCAGCTGGTGCGTCCTCCTCCTCCTCGTGATCCTTGCGATTCACGGCAGTAGCCGTTTGGGCCCTGCGGCAGGGGATTGCGGCACAATGTGTGCAACTCCCGCCCGATACGTTTTGAGGGCAACTCGTATGGACCATGTTCAGGCGTCTGCGAGGTGGGAATAAAAGAGAGTCCTTGCCCTCCTCTGAAATCTGTTGCTTTGTTCCACGGCGTGGCCTGCGCTCTGGCTTCCAACTCCCCCAGCAGGTCTCCGGGGTGCGGTACGTCATCCTGCCTGCAGGCCCACGCGTCTCTGGCAGGGCTGGTCCGGCTGAGTTGCACCGGATCCCACCCAGGCCCAGGAGTTGGGCTATGACCCCTTCCATGGGGCCCTTGACGTGGTGCCTCTCTTTTTTGGTTGGCGCCATGACATGCAGCTTGGCGTACAGCTTGTCCCATCCTCTTTGGTAGCGCTTCAGCTCGCTCGGGTGGTCCGCCACCGTGATCTATAACTGCTTGATCTGGTCGACTATGGCCCTCGTGACTGCCTCCTTCGGGCCGCGCTGAGTGAGGAGGATGGTGGACGTGCATCTTCCTGCCTTGTGCCCTCCTGTCAACAGGGCGGCCTCCGTGGCTCGCATCTGGTGGGCTTCCGTGGGAGTGACCCCGTGTGTGGGGAGGTCCCATGCTCGTTGGCAGTAGGCACCTGCCGCGTACACTTTTGCAGCCCCTCGTGCATTCGTCTTGGCCAGCACCTTGAGCCTGTCGATCCTCTGCTGCCCATTGAGCTGTCTTGCTCGGTGCGTGGGTCTCCTCACTGTCATTCCCAAGCCCGTGTCCACTCCTAGGTCTCTCACAACTCCTGGCTGCCTGCTGGGTTTGCCAAGAGACTCCAGGATGGCTGTAATGTCCTTCTCCAGCCCCGCTGTCTGCGGCTATCACTGGCGTCTTTCCCGAGATCGCGATGGTTAGCTCGGCGAAGCCTTCGTGCCCTCCTGATGTTACCTTGCGCATGGCGGCTAGGACCTTCTTCCTGGCCCCTTCACCTGCAGCGCGAGGTCGTCCAGGTACTCTTGCAAGACGACGAAAACTTGGTTCTGGCATGCTGCTTCTATCACCCCGTACAGCAGTGGTCATGTGAGGTTCACCGCTTGTCGTCCATATCCCGCCACCATGCTGTTGTATTAGACGAAGCGTTCGGAGAAGAGGTTGTACGCCAGGATCGTCCTCGGGGCCAGGTACATCTGCACCGTCAGGGCCAATGGGCGGATCGGGCAGTTGAGCTTGACTGCTCTGCCGAGCAGCTGGTCAAGCGCTATATTGCCGATAGGGGCGATCGGGAGGCGCACTGCAAGGCTCGCTGGCAGCGCACTTGCATGGAAGTCCTGCGGGGGCTGCTAGCAGCAGCAGCGGTCGGGCGCTTCTGGCGGCGGCGCCTGGGACTGTGGACGCTGCGCGTTTACCCGCGCGTCCGTGTCTCGCGGGCGAAGGGGTCCTCACGATCTTGCGGACTGCGGCTCCTCCCTGCGCCCGCGCCGCGTTGCTGCGGACTTGGCTCAAATGATGGTGCATCGGCCGCCGCTTTCAGCAGCAGCGCCGGTGCATCTTCGGTGGCAGGCTGGAGAAGTCGGTCGAGCACTACGCGCGCTGCCCGGTCAGGCGCACGTTCCCGTGGCGCCGGCTCGCCGTTCCCGCCGCGGCGGGCAGCCTCGGCGCTCTCCTGCGGCTCGACCAGCCGCTGGGCAGCCCGTCCGTGGACCACCTCGCCCTCTCCGCGGTGAGCACGGCGGCGGTGTGCCGCGGTGCACCTGCCAGGCGCGGCACTCCGCGCAGGCTGGCGCGCCCCACCAGGCTGGCCTGGAGCCGGCACGAGGGCACGCCGCGGCGAGCGCGCTCGCGCGCCCGTCTGCGAGCGAGCACCGCGCGCCCGCGCGCGCTCGGCCACGCCGCGCGGCTGCTGCTGCCCACTTCGTGCCGCCGACGAGGAGGGGCCTGTCAGGGACCGCGCCGCTCGCATCAGCAGCATCTGTGGTGATTTGTTTTTTTGTGTGGGAATTCGTGTCTTCAGGCCGTCGTGTTCTTCTCCTCCCCCCGTGGGTGACATCCCGTTGCGAGCGCCGCCGCTGATGCTCAGGGGGGTGGGAATCGAGTCCGCGTGCGCCTGTGCTTGGGTATTTGCGTTTGCTTCCATTGTGTTGCATCAGATGTTCGCTTGCATCGTGTTGCATCAAATACTCGCTTCCAGTGTGTTGCGTCAGATGTTTGCTTCCACTGCGCTGCATCAGATGTTTGTTTGTCTGCTTGTTTTTTTTTCAGTGTGTTGCATCAGATGCTTGCTTCCACTGTGTTGCATCAGATGTTTGCGTCCACTGTGGCCCTCCGCCCAAGATGTATGAATGGGGTGCGATTTATTTCCTCCGTGGATGGGAATTTCGGGGGGGCGGGATTTGTCCGCTCAGGCTGGCGCCCACGGTAAGCTGAAACGTAATCGTTGCGAGGCTTGGATTAGTTTTTGCCAGAATTCTTGGCCCGAGTTTCGGCCACGATTGCAGGACAGCCTTGCGACAAACAGCCTTGCGACAAACATCATAATTTTTGGCGCGTGGCAGGGTCACTTGTGTATAGTATGTATGTGTCGATGGCAACTCGTCGATCCTCCGGCTGGTCGGCCGCCTCTGGCCGACGACCAGCTAGGGTGACAGTTGACACCCCCATCTAGGGGGTAGATCGTCCAGCGGGGCCCAGGCCATGCTGGTCGGGATAGGGATCGGTCAAACGGTGCTCACGCAATCCGCCGACCCGAATGCGTCAGCCCTGAACCCGCAGCGATCGAGCCGCGCCATATACCCACCAACCCGAAAGCCTCCGCAATCAAAGCACTCAGCGGACGAGACGCCCGCTGACCCGAGCGCATCGACTCACGCGGCCGGCGGGTTGCTCGCCCAACCGAACGTTTCCGCGATATATCCACGCGGAGCGTGAAGCATCTACCGTCTCGAATGTGGTACGCATGCGGTGAGGCTCGCGCGCCAGTCTCGAGTGTTTCCATGATCGAGTTGAGTCCGTTAGAGCAGTTCTTTGTCAGCAGAATACTTGTTCGCTTCGCCTCTCGCCAGCTAAAACTACCACTCGTGCGCTATTTATTTAGCGCCCGAACAGATAGAGTGCAACGCGAACAGTTCTGGTGATACTTCCATGGAACTTGTCCTTCCCCCCTCCCCATCGCAGTCGTCGAGTATCATGGGCGAGTCTGAGTATGAGGAGCGAGTTCGTGGGTCCGAGTGTAATTGACAGAGACAGGGAGATAGAGAGAGAGAGAGAGAGAGAAAAAGAAAGAAGGAGAGAGAGAGAGAGAGTGTGCGCGTGTTTCTGTGTAAGTCTCTGAGTGGGTGTGGATATGAGCGGCTCTGAGTTGGACTGATCAGAGAGTGAGTGGTTTGTGTTGAATAGTATGATTCTGAGAGTATGAATGGGCCTGAGCGTGAGTGGTCTGATTATGCGTGGGTCTGAGTGTCAATGAGTCTGAGTATCATTGGGTATGACCGTGTGTGTGTGTGGTCTGAGTATTATAAGTCTTGGGTATGGGTGAGTCGGAGTGTGAGTGAGTGCGAGTGGGGATGTCAATGAGTATGGGTATAAGTGAGCCAATCTGTGAGAGTGGGTACGAGTGTGAGTGATTCCGAGTACGAGCGAGTCTGAGTTTTTGATGGGAAGGCGGGAGTGAGGAGGCGGAGGCCCATCTCAGGACATGGAGAAGCAACCGACGTCGCAACCACCGCATAGTGCAGTCTTCAACGAGGTGTTCCAGTTTTGCTGGCCTTCGTTCAGCACAGGGCGTCTTTAACCAGTGCGTAACGTGTGTGAACCAAAACCGTGTCTAACTGTACCCAACCGTACCCAACGAGTTTTTAAATCATGCTTCACCGACTAACACTTAGCAGCCATGTATGAGGCTTGATCTGAGTCCCAAAGTGCTGCCAGCGGCGCGCCAGGAATTTCACATTGTACATGACTTCGCTGCTTCGACGGAGACGCGCGGCAGAGAAAATGCGTCGCGACGACTGTGAACGACCTCCCGCGAGGCAGCGCTATAAATTTAGACGCGCCCTACAATCAACCCACGCAGGATGGGCAATGTTCCCAATGATGCCCTTGCATCCTTGCCTCCTTGGCCCGTCCTTGGTGGCCGCTTTCGCTTGCCGCGTCCCGCTCGAGAAGCTTCGACATGGGCTTCCAAGGCCCTTGCATCCTTATCGCGCATCCTTATGATGCGGGCTGAGTTTAGTGTCTTCCAGGGCAGGTTTCGGGGGGCCGCCGAGGGCTACCGAGGGGGCCACCGAGGCTCCGGAGTCTTCGAGGCCCGCCGAGAAAGCCTCTGGGGCGCCGCCAGACGGCCGCCAGAGGGCCGCCGAGGGCTCACAGAGCTCTCCGAGGGCCGCCGACAGCCCTGGAAGGCCGCCGAAGGTCTCTGGAGGGCCGCTGAAGGTCTGTGACCTTGAGTCGCGACGTCGCAGAAAGAACAGAAACGACGCCATGAGAAGACACGACTCGACCTGCAGCCCTCCTCTCGGCGTCAGGCGCTAGTTTCTGGGCTCCGCGGCGCGGCGGCGCCCCCGGAGCCCCAACGTCGATGTTCGCGTCGGCATTGGCGGCCTGCGGGCCGCACTTCGCGCGTCGCCGA